AGATAATGCAGTTGATCCAGTATTATTTGCTAAAATGACCATTCTTTGCCCCTGAATTGCAGTGGTATTTTTTTCTATAAATCTGGTAAGCATTTATGCATTGACCTCTTTCTGGATTCTCTAATTCATTCCATCATTAAGCTCATTTCTCTAATTTGAGCCAATGACACACTGTCTTAATACCTGGAACTGTACCGTAAATCTTGCTACCTGATATTATAAGTGTTTACTTTATTCTTCCTCAAGATTGTCTTGACTATTCTAGGTCCTTTGCATTTCATATAAATTTTAAAATCAGCTTTCCAGTTCTCACATAATGTCCTCTTGATATTTTGATTGGGATGACATTGAATCTCTAGATCAATTTGGGGAGAATTGACATCTTAACAATATTGTCTTCCAACCCATGAAAGTGGTTTATATTTTCATTTATTTTTCTTTAATTGCAATGCCTTGTATATTTTAATATAGATCTCTTGCACTTCTTTTATTAGATTTATTCTTGTATTTGATTTTTATGCTATTGCACATGATATTTTTATTTAATTTGCTGGCTGTTCATCATTAGTATAGAAAAGTACAATTGATTTTTGTATATTGACATTGCATTCAACAACCTTGGTAAATTCACTAATTGAATCTAATAGTTTGATTAATGCTCTAACTTTTTTAGCCACAATAACGTTATCTGCAAATAATAGCTCTTTTACATCTTCTTTTCTAATCTTTATACCTTTTCTTTCTTTTTCTCACCTTAATGCACTAACTAGAATTTTCATTACAATGTTACATAGAAGTGAGGAGTGGACATTTTTGTATTATACCCAAACTCAGGAAGGGAGAAAGCATCTAAAATTTTACTCTTAAGTATAACATTAACTGTAGTTTTTTTTGTTTTGTTTGTTGTTTTTATTTTTTTGTTTTGTTTCCCTCTTTCCTTCTTTCTTTGTAGCTATCATTTATCAGATTAAGGAAGTTCCTTTCTACTCCTTGTTTATTGAGATTTTTTTTTTTACCATAAAGAGGTGTTGAATACTTCTTCTTTATCCATTAAGATGATTAATTTATTCTGTTAATGTGGAGAATTACACTGATTGATTTTTGAGCATTAAACCAACCTTGCATTTCTGAAATAAACCTCAATTTCTCATGATGTAGTATAACTTTTGTATATTGCTGGGTTTGATTTGATGATTATTTTGGGGGGCTTTTCCATCTGAGTTCCTGAGAAATATTGGGCTGTACTTTTCCTTTCTTGTAATGTCTTTATCAGGATTTCAAAATAAGGTTAGGTTGATCTCAATGCAATTTGGGGAGTATTCCCTATTTCTCTCCTCCACAAAAGACTTTGTTCAAGATTGATATTATTTTTTCCTTAATTGTTTGGAAGGATATGCCAATGAAGCTATATAGTTCTACAGTTTTCCTGTGGGAAAATTTTAAATTTCAGATTTAATTTCTTTAAAAGATAAAGAACTATTCAAACTTTCTGTTTTTTCTGGTGATAGATTGTGTTTGTCTAGAAATTTGCCTGTTTTGGCAAAGTTGTTAAATTTACTGGCATAAAGCTGTTTTCAATATTACTTTATTTCAGTAGGATTAATAATGATGTCCCTTCATTTTTGCTGATATTGTGTTTTCTTTCTTTCTTCTTTTTTTCTTTCTTTCTTTCTTTCTTTCCTTCTTTCTTTCTTTCTTTTTTTATGAACAGTCTTGCCAGGGGGTTATCAATTTTATTAATCTTTTCAAAATTCAAACTTTTGCCTTAGTTGATTTTCTCTATTGTTTTTCTCTTTTCTATCTCAGTGATTCCAACTCTTATCTTTATTATACGCTTTTTTTAAAACTTGCTTTAGGTTTAATTTTTTATTTTATTTTCTGAGTTTATTACAGTAAAAACATATCAAAATTTTAACTTTCCATTTGTAATACATGCATTTAAAACTATATATTTCCTGGGCCGGCCCGGTGGCGCACTGCTACAGTGCGCCGGTTGGGAGCGCGGCGGCGCTCCCGCTGAGGGTTTGGATCCCACATACAGACCAGTTCCCGCTCACTGGCTGAGCAAGGTGCGGGCACAGCACCGAGGGTTGCGATCCCGTTGCTGGTCCCGGTCTGGTACGGGCACGACACTGAGGGTTGCGATCCATTGCCGGACATGAAAAAAGACAAAAAAAGGAAAAAAAAAAAAAACTATATATTTCCCCCTACATACTGCTTTTCCTATATCCCACAAGGTTTAATATATTGCATTTTTTCAATTAATTTAAAATATTTTGTAATTCTATTTTGTGTCTTGTTTGTTTCATAATTTATTTAGAAGTATGTTGCTTAGCTTCCAAACATTTATAAGTTTTTTATTATTTTTTTAATTTAAAATTTTTTCCATTATTTTTCCATTGTTGATTTCTAGTTTAATTCTATTGTTGATTTCTAGTTTAAGAACATATTCCATATGATTTCAATCCTCTGAAATTTATTTTTTAAAAAGGGGGGGTGGCTGGCCGGTTAGCTCACTTGCTAGAGCATTGCGTTATAACACCAAGGTCAAAGGTTCCAATCCCCATACTGGCCAGCTGCAAAAAAAAAAAAAAGAAAAGAAAAGAAATTTATTGAGACTTGTCCCTGGGCCCAGCATATGGCCTGTTGGGACAAGTGTTCCATGTGCAACTGATAGGACAGCAGTTCTCGAATGTAGTGTTCTATGTATGTAAATTAAGTCAAGTTTATTAATTGTTCTGTTCAAGTTTTCTTCATTCTTACTGATTTATTTCTGCTTTTTGTTTCAGTTACTGAGAGAAGTATTGTAAATTTGTCTATTTGTTTTAAGTTCCATTATTAAGTGCAGCCATATTTAGGTTAATTATGACTTCCTCTTAAATTGATCATTTATCATTATGAAACGTCCTTATTTATCTCCGGTAAAATTCTTCTTGCCATAAAATATCTCAAGACACACCAGCTTTCTTTTGGTTAGTGTTTTTGTGGTTTATCCTTTTATATTTGCCTATATACAGTTATGTACAACATGACATTTTAGTCAATGATGGACCACATACACAAAGGTGGTCCCATAAGATTACAAGGAGCTGAAAAAGTCCTATCACCTGGTGATGTCATAGCTGTCATGACATCATAACTCAATGCACTACTCGCATGTTGTGGTGATGTAAACAAACCTACTGAGCTGTCCAGTCATATGAAAGTATAGCATATATGATTACATACAGCACATAACACTTGATAGTGATAATAAACAACTATGTAACTCACTTATGTATTTACTATACTATATTTCTTTAGAGTGTGCTCCTTCTACTTATGGAAAAAGAAAAGTCAACTGTATTACAGGCTCAGGCAAGTCCTTCAGGAGTTATTCCAGAAGAAGGCATTGTTACCATAGAAGATGACGACTTCATGTGTGTTATTGTCCTGAAAACCTTCCAGTGGGACAAGATGTGGGGTGGAAGACAGTGATATTGATGATCCTGACCCTGTGTAGGCCTGGGCTAATGTGTGTGTTTGTGTCTTAGTTTTTAACAAAAAACTTTAAAAGGTAAAAAAAAAAAAATTAAAAATCTTAAAAATAGAAAAAAGCTTGCAGAACAAGGCTATAAAAACAGAAAATGTTTTTGTACAGCTGTACAATGTGTTTTTTAAGCTCAGTGTTTTTAGAAAAGAAAATGTTATTAAAAATTTAGAAGTTTTTAAAGTAAAAAAGTTACAGTAAGCTAAGGTTAACTTATTACAGACAGAAAAATATTTGCTTATAAACTTAGTGTAGCCTAAGTGTACAGTATCTACAAAGTCTGCAGTATTCTACAGTCACATCCTGCGCCTTCACAGTCACTCACCTCTCACTCACTGACTCACCCAAAGCAACTTCCAGTCCTGCAAGCTCCATTTACAGTACCTGCCCTACATAGGTGAACCATTTTTTATCTTTTATATCACATTTTTTCTGTATCTTTTCTATGTTTAGATATGCTCAGATACACAAATACTTACCATTGTGTTCCAGTTGCCTACGGCACTCAGTACAGTAACTTGCTGTACAGGTTTATAGCCTAGGAGCCATAGGCTGTACCATGCAACATAGGTGCATAGCAGGCTATACCATCTATTTGTATAACTACACACAAATTTTCAAAAATTTTATCCTCTATTAGCTTTTTTGTATATATTTTTGTGTTATTTTTCTAGTGGTTACTCTAATGATTTCAAAATTTACATTCTTGACTTATAACAATCTAAGTTAGTGCCTTTGTCACTTCCTAAATAAATACAAAAACTTTACAATTTAATTCTCTTTGCCTTCTCCCATCCTTTATGCTATTATAGTCATAAACTCTATATCTACATATTAAAACTCCCATAAACATTTTTTTAAAAAACAAGTTTCTATCTGGTGGGTATGAGATAATGGCTTGAAATCTTAAGTTGAAGACAAGGAGACAGATTCAGTGTTGTGGAAATTAAAAGGAAGGGATAAATTCAAGAGAATTTGCAGGGGGAAAAAATCATAAAATTTGGTGAGTAACTAAATATGGGGAGAGCAAAGGAAAGACAAGACTTGAAAATGACACCAGGTTATAAGAGTGAGACTCAGACAGGAACTGACGCTGTGGATAGATTTGGGAAGAGAAAACACTGAGCTCAAGTTTTGAAATGAATTTTATGTGAAATTGAGACTTGAGAGATGACCACTGGGAATGAAGAAAGACTTGGAAATCATCTAAATGTAACAATACTTTCACTGGAAATTGTATGTGGAATGAGTTATCAGGGGACTGAATATAAAAGAAGAAATATTCATCAAATAGTTATCAAGTGTCTACAATGTGCCTAGGTGCTGAGAATATAGTAGAGAATAAATCAGACAAAATCTTTGCCCTCCTGAAGCTGACATTCTAATGGGAATATAAAAGATGATTAACGGATGGAGTTGAAAAGACATCATTAATTAAAACAGAGATATAATAAGCAGAATCTAGAAATTTTTCTCCCAGTCGTGCGGTGACTCGGGTCACCCTCCAGGTGTTTTACTTTGGTTTTGTTTTTTTTGGTTTTGTTTTTATCTTGTTTTCTCGGGGTTGCCCCCCTCTTGTTTGTGTTGTGTGTGGAAATGGCGAACTTGGCAAATACAAACACCATGCCTAAACTATACAGATCTGTGATTGAAGATGTTATTAATGATGTGAGAGACATCTTTCTGGATGATGGAGTAGATGAACAAGTCCTGATGGAACTAAAAACGTTATGGGAGAATAAACTAATGCAGTCTAGAGCAGTAGATGGATTTCATTCAGAGGAACAGCAGCTTTTATTGCAAGTTCAACAGCAGCATCAACCCCAGCAGCAGCAGCATCACCACCACCACCACCACCAGCAAGCTCAACCTCAGCAGACAGTACCTCAGCAAGCGCAGACCCAGCAGGTCCTTATTCCTGCATCACAGCAAGCCACCGCACCACAAGTTATTGTTCCTGATTCTAAGCTGATACAACATATGAATGCATCAAACATGAGTGCTGCTGCTACAGCTGCCACCTTGGAACTCCCTGCAGGTGTGACTCCTGCTCAACAGATATTAACAAATTCAGGCCAGCTTCTTCAAGTCGTCAGAGCAGCCAATGGTGCCCAGTATATCTTTCAGCCTCAGCAGTCAGTGGTTCTACAACAACAGGTTATACCACAAATGCAGCCTGGTGGGGTACAAGCTCCTGTTATTCAACAGGTACTGGCCCCTCTTCCTGGAGGGATTTCACCACAGGCAGGTGTCATCATCCAGCCTCAGCAAATCTTATTTACAGGAAATAAGACTCAAGTTATACCTATGACAGTGGCAGCACCTACACCAGCACAAGCACAGATAACTGCCACTGGCCAACAGCAGCCTCAGGCCCAGCCTGCTCAAACACAGGCTCCATTGGTATTACAAGTTGATGGAACTGGGGATACGTCATCTGAAGAAGATGAAGATGAAGAAGAAGACTATGATGACGATGAAGAAGAAGACAAAGAAAAAGATGGAGCTGAAGATGGGCAAGTGGAAGAAGAACCCCACAATAGTGAAGATGATGTGAGTGATGAGGAAGGACAAGAACTCTTTGACACAGAAAATGTCGTTGTATGCCAATATGATAAGATACACAGAAGTAAAAACAAATGGAAATTTCATCTCAAGGATGGCATAATGACTCTTAATGGAAGAGATTATATATTTTCCAAAGCCATTGGAGATGCAGAATGGTGAAGAGTTGTTCTTTTCTTTTATAAATAAAAGAAACTTTAATAACATTTAAAGTGGACAGTTTGAAACTTGGGACATATATCAACCAAAACTTCACTTCTGCATGTCAGAAAAGTGCAGTAGAAGCAAAGCTACTGGAACAAAGATAGACCTTGACAACATAGACACTACTTCTAACTGGCAAGCCATGGAACTGTAGCACCTGGGGTTGTACGGGTGGGAGGGCTGGGGTTTGTGTAGGGAAAACCATAACTGTCAACTTTAAATACAGGTACCTGCCACCAGTAATCAGCCTGTAAAGCTTTGTCTATATTCCTTACTCCAACTTGGGTTCAATCAGAAGACACTTGTTGGAATGAAATGAAGAAACTTCCCTTTTGATAGATTAAACTGAAACTGCTTATTGTATGTGGTTATATTTGGTAAAAGTTGCGTGTGAGCTTTTTACAAAAGGGTAAGAATTATGGTGTTGAATTTTAATTAACTTGTATAAGAAAATTTAAAACTCTCATAATAGGTCTTAAATATTTTTACTTGCTGTTTTCCCTCAGTAATATATACCTCTTCCTTCCCTGCTTTATGAAACATCTATTTATAAGATGTAAAGGAAGTAATCAGTGACCACAGTTTGGAGATACAGTTTGATAGATTTTCATGAAACTAATGAAAACAATGATACATCATACCAAAACCTGTGGGATACTGCAAAAG